AACCTGTCAACTCAGGTGTGCTACTGCTTGGTTGGAACAGAAACCTGCAGCCGCAGCGGCCCTTCGTGGAACAGTTTGGGCACCCCTGCTCTACGGGATTCACCCCCAGAAGTTTAAACCTCTGGGGGAGGGACGCCCACTGAAGCTAGCTCTCCTGATAACACGCCCTGACGCTCGGACAGTTGTCACCGCCCCAGATGTGGGGCGGTGACAGGAAACCTGGCTTCAGTGGCCTTCTGTCCCCCTGAGGTCTGTGCTTTTTGGGGAGGGGGGGGGGTCCAGAAAGTGGCCCTGGATGTTTGTTGTCAAAGTGATTGATGAAGGCGGGAGAACGACTTTCAGACTGAAACACAAACACTGACCGTGACCTGATCCACGATGACGTCTCCTGCACACGTGGGTCAGTCCACGGCTGTTGACCGTTCACTCTGGGGTCTGATGGAGTTTCAGCAGAAACTTGTCTGAAAGTAGACGGACAGCTTGGTGGCTAGGTAAAAAAAGACATGACAGGAACTGGGTCTTTTTTTTTAATGCTAATTTAATTTGTGGTCTTTTCAGGGACGTGGCCCATTTCCCAGTTTGACATTTGGATGCAGTGAGCTACATACATTTCAAATTAAGAATAAAATACTAAATTGAAAAACATTTTTTTTGAACAGACAGTGTTTAAAGAGTTCTGTGAGGAGCAACGTACAGAAAAGAAAAATAAGAACTAGCTCCTAGTTGTATTGTTAGCATTATGTTAACGTGATTTTATTTGCTCATTGAGATGCAGTTTCATTGGTGTTCTCACTTGGTTTAGCATGTGCTAACAGGTCAAGGAAATGCTCCATTTGTACAAAAACGATTGAAAATTACACAGGAAGTTCAACGACAGGAAAAACAAACAGCTGAATATAACAAATTACAACTGCAATTCTAGTGACTGCCAGTAGGTGGAGCATGATTTTTGTTTTGGTTTACTACCACGGTTTATTTAAGGCTTTGCTGGATCACACTAACAAACTGAGGCACATTAGCATCACCGCCTCAGGTCCGTCACCATTCGTTCAACAACGTTATTTCCTGGTGTTTGTTTATTAACGACACCTCGTTTCCACAGGAAATTCATTAATTTGATAAAAAAAAATAATAGATAATATTAGTAGAACTTAGAACTGCTGTATTTTAGTGCATGAACGTCAAGTTAACAGTTTAGGTTAATGTTCTCTGTTCTACATTCACGTTTCTTTGAGTCCTGTTTGTTCCTTAATTTTTATCTTGATGTGTTTGTATTAAAAATGTAAAAATTTTTTTTTTGTTTTCCCTCTCATTTGAAAAGAAATGTACTTTGGCTCCGGGAACACTAGGGGGAAGAATTCATCGACATATTCATGCAGGAAAGTTCTGTGGAAATGAGGTATCAACGTTTATTAAAACTCGTGTTAAATTTTTTGGTTAGTAAATTTTTGTTAACTTTTTAAAAAAGTTAAAAAATTGGTTTGTTTTTGTGTCTTTGACAAAACTGAACAAAAAGTTTGTTCTGATTTTGCTGTTCAGTGGCTATCATTAAAAAAACGCATTCAAATTTTTGTTGATCTTCATTTAGAAATGAACATGTTCAACATCATCATCGGTATAAAAGGTAAACATAAAGAAAGTCTTAAGCTAAACATAATAATTAGGGATGTCCGATGTTACGTTTTGCCGATATGCTGATATTGTCCAAACACTTAATTTCTGATTCCGATACCAATATAGGCCTGGTAATATTTATTTATTTATCTGTTCAAACCACTGTACGAGTTGCTGGCACCAGCATTCTACATACAATCCCCTGATTATTAAAATAGATTAATAAAAACGAGCTGCAATGCTGCCATCTAGTGGCTTTCATATACAGCAATTTTCCTCAAAACTATTTCTAGGTCAGACATGATTTGGCGAAACCCAATCATTGTTTTCTGGTTTTCATTATCGGAGGAAAAAACCAATAACGATTCTTACAAATATTACATGATTATGCTAATATCGGGCTGATAATATCGGACATCCCTACAAATAATCAATGTTTATAATTTGGTTTTTCTAAATGTAATTTTTTTTTTTAATTCTGTTTTTATCTACTGAGCTAAGATAGCTACGTTAGCTAAAACCTGACTAAAATCTCACAGTGAATTCATGACAGACCAGGACTCACACTGGATTGGGACTAACGGTGGACAAGGGACCAGTCTGGTTGCTGAACCACTCCAGAACCTCGTTCTTGTTCGTCTCCAGCCACTTGATGTTGGCGATGGTCGTCTCCAGCGCCTGCTCCACGGCCAGGGAGGCGGAGCCAAAGCCGATGTGACTGTGCTCTTGGATGAAGTCCTTCAGCTGCCAAAAAGGATGATGGGAAAACAGTTCAGAACGACCGATTGACGGACTGACGTGTGGATCGGGTGTTCGATCGGTGACAGAGCCTCACCTGTTGAAGTTCTGCCTCAGTAGAAAACCTCCTGGTGACGCCGGTGATGATGGAGGAGAAGGAGAAGGAGCCGACGCCGTATCTGAGGAGACGACATCTGAGTCTGTGCTCACCAAGTCTGAACGGGTCTGAACAGGTCAACACTCACTGTGTGAACATATAGTTCCAGTTCTCTCTGACAAAGTTCCAGGCCAAACTCTGTCCCGCTCTGTTTTTAGCCACAGACGTGATGACGGACGACGCGTCCTGTTTACGGATCCTCTCAGGATCTAAAGTGTAGGAGAGCAGTCTGGAACCAAACACATCGTCACGTCAACGACACGCAGGCTCCGCCCACCCCCCCCACCCCAACACGTGATCCATGACGGCGGAGGGATACGTACCTCTGCAGCAGGTGTGGGTGGGCGGAGCAGGCCAACGCTGACATCAGTTTTGCTGCTTCGCTCGCCAACGTGGCGTTTTTAAACTGTGACCAGACGTAGTCCCACTCCGTGTCACCCCCGCCCTCCACCACACTGCAGTACACCACCGTCCGTAGATTAGGTCCAATCCTGAGAGGAAACAGGTGAGATTATAATCCAGATTACGAGTTAGATCTGAAGTTACATGAATCAAATTCACAGCAGTGAATCTGGAGTCACTTCAGTTTGAGTCCAGTGTGAACGGGTGTGTAATCTGGATTACTGCCCACTCACGGATTACTGTGAGGATTCTCCATCCACTGGTTGAACCAGGTGGTGGTCAGCTGCTGACACTCGGACACAGCACTCCTACAGGCCACCTGCAGAGCGTTCACCTGGTTGTACCTTAAAAAACAGAAAAACACAAACACACACGGCATCAGATGCCAAACAAAAAATGGACAAAAATGAACTGTTTCTCTGCGGCCGCGTTCACACTGGACCAGAATCAGGAGTTAAACCACTTCTACAGCCTCAGTGAAGTACAGTGAACTAGGAGTTTTATCTCAGATGATTTCTGACTCTGGTTCACATCAGTTCCACATCAGTTCCAGGTTCTACCTGCATCACTGGTCAGTAAGTGTCTCAGGAACCTCGGTCCAGTTTGACGTCATCTTCTCAAAGTAGAAGAAAAGTGGAGTCACCAGCTTCTTCATGTAGTTCTGGAACAATCAAACACACTTGACTAAACGATTGCCTGTAGCGACATGTTTATCTGCACCACATTTTATCACCTGTCTAATTATGTGCCTACAGCACCCCTGCTGGACAATCACTGGTGAGTTTTTAATCTACATTTTTTTCTATATTTGACTGTACTTGTAGCTATTGGCTAACTATTTTGTTCTTCAAACTTTCATTAGCTTTGTCTAACCTAAGACTGTTTTAAAGGAACATTTAGGCAACTTCAACTGCTTTCCACAGTTTCTTTTGCTAAGCTTTAACTAAGCTAGCCTTTCTTTTTTTGCTCCCTTTGCGGGTTGTCGTCATGGTTGTTGTTGTTGTTGTTGTACCTGCATTGGTTGATACACTTCTGTGCGGTCCAACATCAGGTAATAATAGTACAGGTTATTTAGAGCCGACTGCCAGGGAATGTACTCTGTCTCCCCCTGCAGGTAGACGGTGGTCCTGAGAGCCAGGCTGGTGGAGATCATCTCAGCCCTACGATAAATAAAAACAAGGAAAACTCAGGTAAACACCAAGTTTGATCAAAATAATTAATTATTAATTATTAATAATAATTGCTGTTTTTGCTGTTCATAGCTTTGGCTACTTTCTGAAGAGAGTTTCCTTTTGTCAAGTTTGCAACAATTATATTTATAAAACTTTTGACTTTGTCTACATTTAAATTGTTTTAGCTAGAATTTAAATAGATATTAACTAACCTTCATTTCTTAATAAACTTCAAGATAAAGCTACGACGTAAACTTTTAGCTTTACTTTTAGCGAAATGTTAGCTTTTTTCAAACATATCGCTCCTTGTTGTTACAGCCGTTAATTAGCTAACGTTGAATCATGTCAGGCTAGCTTGCTACAGTTCACCCGGTCCTTTGTTTACTTTTCTTGACATAACAGTGACCAATATGATATTATATAAATATATTATATATTTTACGGTGTTGAAAAAAAAAACATGTTGTGGAGGGTTAGAGAATTCGCACCTGGCCAGATTGAAAGCGTCGTCAATCAACTGAGCTCGGTTCAACACTGGAATCACCTGCAGGTTTTTAAGACACAGCGTCATTTATCACGTAATTATAGCGTTTAAATAAACAAAACACTGAGTGTTTTATCAAGACGTAAACAATAAAAACCAAACTTTTCACCTTATGCTGGGAGTGAAGCTGGCTCAGCAGTCTCTCCCAGTTTCCCAGGTCGTAGTTTACACGGAAATATCCAGTCACGTTAACGTTTGCCAGTACCCACAATCCACCACTCCTCATCTCCAGGTTCACAACTGACGAACAGGAACTCATGGTCATAACATCATCATTTTTCACTATTTTTTTTGTTTGTACTTCATGTACTTGTTTGTACAAGTACATGAAATATATTTTTAGTGCTAAACTTTTAGCTAATTTAGCAGTAGCTCACGGAGGACAGTATCATCCCAACAGCAATAAACCTCAGTTAACACACACCATTTTTCTTCAGCAGCCACCAGATGTCGCTCTTAACGTCACCTGACTTCATCCATCTGACAGGAATCAGCCACTCGTACCTGAAGTGGGAGGGGCATCAGGACGAGGAGGAGCAAAAACAATAATCACAAATTAAGGAAAAAAAAGGTTCTAATGTTAAGATGCACCTGGACTGCCCCCTAGTGGCTAAATGCTAGTAGAACTCTGTCCTGTACTTGTATGGAGACTGGACTGTGACGTTGGACTCTGGATCCAGCAGGAAGTACATCTGTGACACGTTTCCTGTGCTGGTATCTATGGTAACCACAGGGAAGCCCATCTGCAGGACCCAGGGCTTCATGATGTCATCAACAGGAAGAGGAAGTGACATGTTGTTGGCTTTCACCGCCTGTTGACAGAAACATCAGAGATTTTTGTGATGATTGAGAAATAAACATTCAAACAATTGTCTACACAAATGTTTCACCAACACAGATTATTGTGCTAACAGTTAGCCATAATATATTCAAATGAGCTAAAGCAGGCATGAAGGCTAAATTAAATCTAAAAGTTTTAGCAACAACAACAAAATACTTTACTTCAGGACAGATTGCAAACAATAAATAGGAAATGAAGTCAGGATTCTAAAACATCTTCTTCTTTTTCATACCATTTCCAGGTGGTTCCACAGATCGGTTCCTTCCGTGTTACTTTCGGCAAAGTGACTCAGATAAGTCTGAAACACCAGAACACAGGGACAAAGACTTGTTAAAGACAAACGTCAGGTTAGTATCAGTCACTTAATCATTGTAACCTTACACTCAGTCCTTGAACAAAAACTGATTCGGAGAGAAAGTCCGACAACATCCTCAGAACGGCTGCACCCTGGAAAACAGAGACAGTTCATCTGACTGAGGTTCAAACCAACAACCGTCTGTGTCTCTGGGAGCTAAAATCACTGATTTCCTCTTTGGACTTTTGGTAAAGGATAAATCATTGTCATTCAGTACTGACGTGTTTCAACATATGCTGCCCCCAGGTGGACAAGGGTGTACCTTGCTGTAAGAGATAGCATCAAACTGCTGCATAATTTGCTCGGGGAGGACGATGTCATCTTCCTTGGAGGACAGAGGGTGAGACGACGTCAGGGCATCGATTGCAAACGATCTGTGGACGTCTTCCAGAACGATCAGGTCTTTCTGTCGGAAACAGGAAACACGGTTAGTACCAATTTGTTTTCCCTGTGTGCCGGTTTTTCCGTAGCATCGGATTCTCACCACGTTCCACGTTGGCTCAGCGTGGTCTGCTCCCAGGTACGACACGTAGGTGGCGAAACCCTCGTTCAACCAAACCTCGTTCCACCAGCGCAGAGTCACCAGGTTACCAAACCACTGGGCAAAACATGACCGGGTCAGAGCAGATCCAGGACTGGGTTAGAGTCTGTACCCTGGTTAACTACAGTCGAGTTGGGTAGTTAAACGATCAATCAATCAAACATCATCTGTTAGTGAGTTAAATCTGTACTATCAGTAGGACCATCTACCTTCAAGTATAGAATAATGTAACCAGGTGAGGGAGCTCACGAGCTCTGATTAGTGACATGATGATGAGTCGTTGTGGACAGTGAAACAATCAGAACACCAACCATGTGAGCGAGTTCGTGAGCGATGATGGTCGCTGTGGTCTCTTTGTTCCCCGACGACGACGTCAGCGGGTCGTAGAGAAGGTTCGCTTCTCTGTACGTCACCAAACCCCAGTTCTCCATGGCACCGAAGTAGAAGTCGGGCAGAGCGATTTGATCTGTGGACCAACAGTGTGTGTGTGTGTGTGTGTGTGTTTGACAAAAAGTGGTGGGTTCAATTATCTTTACTTTGTGACATTCTCAGATCAGATGAATTCAGACGTGACCGACCTGATTTACTGAGTGGATATGAGATGTTGTAGTAGGACTGAAAGAACTGCAGTACCGGCCCGGTCACCCGGAGGGCGTAGTCTCCTTGACCCAGTTGGATGGCTGTCCTTCGAGCCCAGATTCGAATCTGAAGGCATAAAAACAAAACCTCAGATTTCACCATTCTGTCAGAATAGAAATTTAAAAAAAATAGTCGATATATTTGTCTGTGTTTTACCAGTGTGTGCCCCTGGGTGGCGCTGATGTTAGCAAAGTCACAGACAATGATGGCCAACAGGTATGTTGACATTACTTTGGTTTGTTCAAACTTTGTCTGTGTCACAGTTTCTCCATTGATTGTGCGGTTTACAATGTCTGAAAGTTAGATTTAAAAAAACAACAGATCAGATCAGATTAGATCAGAAAATCATTTGTTCAATTGTTAAATTTTGTCGAATGTTTTTTGGTGACTGTTTGAGTCCCATTTTTGTCCGTGCTGCCTTCACTGACCCGTCTCCTCGCCGTTGGACAGAGCCACGGTTCCAGGAGGGTGAAGGACGGTGATGTTAAAAACAGCTTTCATCGCCGGCTCGTCGAAACACGGGAAGGTTTTCCTGGCGTGGGTGGGGTGCATCTGAGAGGTGGCGACAATCCTGACGGAGAGTCAGAGTCAGAGTTAGAGTTAACCAGCTAGTTTGAACTTAAACTCCAGGGAATCAGAGCAGCCAGGCACAGAGGAGAGGGGGAGGAGCCTTACTTCCTGACTCCGCCCTCGACATATTCACTCCTGTAAAAACCAGCGAGGTCGTCAGCCAGTTCTCCAGAGAACTCAGAGTGGAGCTGGTACCGATGTCCTTTTCTCAGTTTACCCTCCAGTTCAATGACCAGGTACTGAGTCTTAGAGTAGAGCCACCAGGACTTTATACCAGGCGCAGCACCACCACCTGGACAGAACGCAGAAGACATGAGAAAACAGTGAGAAAGTTGAACTGAAGAGTTGTGATGGGACTTAAGGTGGAGTCGTGTTTTGTTTTTTAGAACTTTTAAACCTCAGAATGAGTGGAGGAACCAACAGTGTGTGGTACTGTGTGTGTGTGTGTGTGTGTGTACCTGCAGCAGTGATCATGTGACTCCGCTCCTCACTGTAGTTGAGTTTGTTGGAGTGAATCAGGATCAGGTCTGTTTCTGTCACACACTCAAACTCCACACTTGACCTCCCTGGTCACACACACACACACACACAGATTATTAATCTGGGAAAACACAATCTGGGAAACACAAATATCATGTGACTTGTGATCTATTGATCGCTTCTGGAATGTGCTGGTCTTACCTGTAAACAAGTAGAGGGCGCTGCCTGGGTCAGGGCTCAGACGAGGCCACAGTGTGATGTCATAGCCATGCGGAACTAACGACAATGGAAGACGAAACCTAACACACAAAACCGTAATCGTTATATATACGTACAAATACTGATGTATATTTTATAAATGAACTGTGATTTTGAACCACTAACTTTCCAATTCAAAACCTCATAGAAAAAACCCCAGAAATTTTAGCTCACAGAGACAGAGCAGACGTTGATCCACTGCTGCCTCCATCGCTGAGTTCATATGTGTCATTTGTCATTTGGTCAAAGGTAACTCACACACAAACAAACAAACTGCCCACATGGGGCAGCAGTGCACCAGCAGCCGCTGTGTCCCTGTGAACTAAAATCACTCACTTTCTCCTTGGACTCTGGTCTGTCTTTAATTACCTGTCCCAAGGAGCTGTGATGTCAACTCCATCGTCACCTTCACCTCCTGTCAGGGCAATAGTCCACAACGTGACGATGGTCACCACAGAAACCATGGCCAGAACAATTAGCACGCCACAGAATTTACTTATTAGGCAACGTTTCCCTGAGCTCATGTTGATCAGAGCGAGGACTGAGAGGAGACGGGTCGGTGTGTGAGCTTTAGCTACACTTTCAACCTTGACAGCGTGCGTGCGCACACACACACACACACACATACGTAATAGTTGTCCACAGCAGTAACTCATGTGTGTTGATAACAGCTGATAGTGAAGTTCGCAGGTCACTGTTGTCAGACACGTGATGGTGAATCTGTTATCTGTCGTACAAACAGTAAGGTCTTTGTTTGAGATGGTCCGGGAACTGGACAGGACTACTGTTACTACTGCTAGTACTACTGCTAGTACTACTGCTAGTACTACTGCTAGTGGTGCTACTGCTTTTTTTTCTCATTATATTACAGTGTTATTCTCTGTTTATTTTTCCCCAGCTAACAGGAGCTGCTGGTCCACTACTGCCTCCAGTGGTCAGTTTGTGTCACTAAGGTACATTACCAAATCACACATTTGAACTGAGTGCTGGAAGCAGCAGTCGATCAACGTCTGCTGAGCTAAAATCACAGATTTTCTCTATGAGATTTAGTGTGGGAGACGGTGGTTATTTTTGTACTCTAAACTTTTGATCTTTTGGGTGTTTTAGCCTAGTTTTAGCCTATTCAACAAGCAGGGGGCGCTCACAGAATAGTCCCTTAATGACATAATGACAGCGACTCAAACGGCCACACTTCAAAAACAACAAGAATTAATAAAATAAACGGATCAATAAGAAGCAGCAAAATCTTTGACAAACTCAACTTTAAAATTTAATAATAATAACAACAATAATTACTTGGATTTACAAGAATAGAATCTGGTGTTTGTGATAAATACAAGACATAACATTTTAAAAAATATACTTCATTTTCATTATAAATTATTATTCTTATCAATTCTTTGTGTTTATAAACAAATGGTTTTTAAAAGACCATAATCAATAACCTGACACTGACTTTTTATCACAATCACAGCCTCAGTGAATGACGTTATTACAATTCAAACCTTGATTTAGAAAAGTAAAAAAACAATAACAAAAGGCATCATTCCCCTGCTATCCTTCCATCTTTTATAAAAAAATCCATCTACGACTATTCGCTCTTTCTTCTCTTGCTCCAGCAGGGGTCAGTATTTTAAAAAATCACATAAATATAGGTCTGGTTCACAGTTTCTTCACGCCTTAGTTTCAGCCCTGAACCACTCCAGAACATTCTCCTCATTCTCTGCGATCCACTTCATGTTAGCAATGGTTCTTTCAATGGACTGATCCACGGCTAGAGTTCCGGAACCGAAACCCTCATCTGAGTTATCCTCTTTGAACTGCCTCAGCTGGAACCACAGAAGAAGAACAGTAAAAATCTAAACGTTCACTTCTATGTCTGATGGAATGAACTAAAGTATTAGCACCACCAAATTCCTTAAAAAAAAATCAGTGATTTTAGCTCTCAGGGACACAGTAGTTGTTGGTCCACTGCTGCCTCTTGTGGTCAGTTTGTATCACTGAGGTGAATATGCACAAAGTTGAACTCAGTGATGGAGGCAGGAGGCAATCGGCAGCTGCTGTGTCTCCATGAGCTAAAATCACTGATTTTTTCTATGAGGTTTGGTGTGGGAAGTGTTTAGATGAAGCGAGTCTTCCAGACTAAAATATCTAGTTTATCCCACCTTTTCTGAAGCCCCGCCCCTTGATTGATTTTTTGTTGAACAATAGATTATAACATTATAATCTAAGACCATAATCTAACAGTAGAGAAACTGGTTGATGATAAATCAGAGCTGTAAAGATAAAGGAGAAATCCTCTGACCTCTTTGAGCTCAAACTCAGTGGAGAAGCGTTTGGTGATGCCGTTGATGAGGTTGGAGAAGGAGAAGGAGCCTCCACCGTATCTGTGAGGGTAGAAACCAGAGCAGGGTTTTTTTTACTGACAGATGGCGCCACCTTCTTCGCATTCATCTTTAAATACATCTGGGTCAGAGTTGATTTTGACAGCTGTAAAACCTTTTCTCATGATCTCGGCCTCTTAGTCACAAAGATCATGGTTAATATTTATAACGTCCAGTGTAAACAGTCTGTAAAAGTTGGGTCTGACGGTAACACGGCTGTAAATCTGTTTTTTTATTGACTTGAATTGATGAAGCAGAACTTGTTAAGTTTAACGACGTGTCAGCAGAGTTCATAAATCTGTCTCTTTATGACACGGTGTTAAATCTCAATCAGGAGCAGAGGGAGGAGGGGGGGGGTATTGAACATCAAGGTTCAATGCCCTTTTTTTGCCACAACAAAAGTATTTTTTGAACCTCCAGCAAATGAAAAACCTTACATAAACTTTGTGCTCAGACAGAGTAGAATGGAAAACCCAAACTAATACTTTAATTCAAAGTATTAGATAAAAATTTTAAATACATTAATCATTAGTAATGTTTTTAGCATTAATTCATTTAAATATATTTAAAATTTGTAAATGTAAATTCACAATATTTACAGGATTTGTTCAGGAAACACTGGGACAGTGTTCATCATTTGGTAGGTGCAATATACAAGTTCACCACCAGGGCCAACAAAAACCCATTGACACCTGAATAGTTTAATCTTTGTTAGACAATAGCTGTAATATTTTTAACATCAGTTTCAAAGGTGGGAATAAAATCTAATTTTAACTGACGTCAGGAAGTGACATCATTAAACCGGACTTACTCTGTGAAAATGTAGTACCAACGGTCTCTCACAAAGTCCCAGGCCAGAGGTTGACCCACCACGTTGTTGGCGATATAGACGATGGTGGAGGTGGCGTCCTGTTTTCGGATACTGTTTGGGTCCAGAGTGTACTCCAGGTACCTGAGGGTGGACGTTAGAAAAAGTCGGATTTGTAATGTTGCGGTTCGCTAACATATTAACGCAGAATGTGTGCGCTAGTAAGTGTCGCTAACCTGTTCAGTAGCCAAGGCTGTTTGGTGCAACTCAGAGCAGATCGCAGTTTCTCTGCTTCGCTGGCAATGGTTGAGTTCTTAAACTCTAACCAGGCAAACTCCCACTCTTTAGCTCCACCTGCTGCAATGGCGTTGCAGTAGACGGTAGAGCGCAGATTTGGGTGTATGCTGGAAATGCAAACAGATTTTTATTGTGGAAAAATCTTAATGATAAAAAAATAAAAAGTCCTGTCCAGACAGGAAGTGATGTCAAATTGACTCACGAGTTATTGCCGGTGGTCATCCACTGCTGGAACCAGGACTTGACCAGATCCTGACATTCTTCAAGACCAGTTTTACATGAGAGACTGATGGCATTCACCTGGTTGTACCTGGGAGAGGAGGAGCAGAGAGGTGAGAAGGTGAGAGGAGAGGGAGAAAGAGGAAACAGGAGGTGCACAGAGATGGTTGGAGGAGGCACTGGGGTCACATGTCCTTCAGGAGTTCAGAATCTGGAACCTTCTGGTCTAATGTCTGGGTTCAGACTCTGCAGTCCTGCAGGATCATCTTAGACCAGACTCCTGGTTCTGGACTTACTGGTCCATGTGTCCTTTTGGAACATTGGTCCAGTTCCCCGTTATATTCTTGAAGTGATAGAACAGTGGTGTGACCTGTTTCCTCAGGTAGTCCTGAAACCACAGAGTTCAAAGGTCAGGAGAGTCATGTTTACAGTAGACCTGTCGTTTCAGTTTCTTTAGGCTACCGCTAAGTCCAGACCTGCATGGGTCCATAGACCTCGGAGCGGTCAAACATGAGTGAGAAGAAGTCTAGGTTGTTGAGGGCAGATGCCCAGGGCATGTACTCCAGCTCCTTGTTCAGGTACGTGGTGGTTTTGAGGGCCCAGACCGTTGGGATGATCTTTGCTCTGTGGATAGTCATAAAAAAACAAAAAACAAAACAAACACCTGCAGTCACTTTCCCATTCAGAAGTCCATAGAAAAAGCAGTGATTTCTGCTGCCAAGAACAGTAGTCCAAGTCCGAGTCCAAGTCTGAGTCCGAGTTGGTGTTGGAGTCTGAGTCTACCACTGCCTCCGTTCTCTTCCAGTTCCACTAACACAAACAGACCAAAGGGGGCAGCAGTGGAGTTAGTTTGGTCGAATGGCAGAGCGATTTTTTAGCGTGCTGTTAAACTCTGACGGTGAGATAAAGATCTGAACACATTCCTGTAAAGAACTTTGTTTTTATGAGCTGATTGTTCTGTGTTCTGTGGACTTTGGTGTTTGGGTCATAAAATCCTCTTAGCGACAATACAACTTGAATATGGATAAAAAACACTATCAGTTCTCCATCTGTGGTGATACTTCCCTGATTAATGGTTAGCGAGTTTTCCTGGTAAACTGGGAGACGATGGGTTTCGATCCTGTGACTGTAGACCAGACTGGACCAGACCAGACTGGACTGGACCAGACTGGACCGGACCAGACTGGACCGGACTGACTGCTCAGGTTTTAGGAAAGTAGTTAGAAATCTGAATCTGCTGTTTTCTTAACTTCAGTCCAAGAACTCTAGTTTCAGCCAATGTTTTTCTTCTACATGAGGAGAAGCCAAGGTTGGACCACGTGTCCGGACGTACCTGGCCAGGTTGAAGGCGTCGTCCACCAGCTGAGCTCTGTTGATGACTGGAATAATCTTGAAGGAAAAGAACGACGATCATGTCACATTTCAGAGAAGTTACCAAGGTGGAGCTGAACCCGACCAGCAGCTCTTACCCTGTGATCTGTTGCTAGCTGATTGAGCAGTCGGTCCCAGTTACCGTCGTCATAGTTGACCCTGTAGTAGCCCGTCACATTAATGTTGGCCAGAACCCAGTCAGATCCAGTCACCTTCATTATTTCAGTGCTATCTGTGGAAAAGAGAAAAATGTACAATAGGTTTCTCAATTAATCTTCATTCATATTCATGGAGTTCAAATCATCTTCTCAACTGAAAGTCTCAACGACGATTTACTGCACGGAGACAAACTGACCACAAGAGGCAGCAGTGGACCAGCAGCTGAATTGACCGACTTGCTCATTTTCTCTGCGGACTTTTCTAATTTTCTACCAAAAGTCAATCTCTTCAGAAAAAATCAGATTACTTTACTTGATTTCTTCGTCAACCAAAACGTTGGCTGCACAGCTTCCTTCTTCTGCCACTTCATTGGAACGATCCATTCATAACTGTGAAAAATGTTAAAGTACAGATTAAGCGCCAAAGTTTTTAGGATTCAATGGAAGCTAGCTGAGGTCTAACAGAACAGGAGACAACATGGGACTATAAGAGAATGACAGTTTGGATTATTATCCTGGAATTCCTGGGATTATTATCAACACTTTGACATATCCTCTCCGGTCCATAATGGATCTGGACTGGACTGGTCCTGTAGAACTGAACGAGTTCCCTGTTTAACCAGAAAGTCCACATTCTTACTTATAGTCGGACGGGGTGGTGACGTTGGAGTCTGGGTCCAGGAGGAAGTGTTGCTGACGGACTTCACCGGTGGTGGTGTTAATGGTGACCACAGGAAAACCCATCTGCAGAACCCAGGTGTTCATGATGTTCTCCAGAGTGTCAGGCAGAACAGTTCCAGTCTGATTCACTGCCTGTGCAAGGAAAAGCACAAACAGTACCATGAGATGTTCAGACATTGGCCTTCAGACATGGATCATCAGACTGGGATCTTCTGTAGAGGAGCACCAACCATCTGCAGATGTCTCCACAGGTCTGTGTAGACGGCGTTCCCAAAGGCAAACTCCTTCAGGTAGGTCTGAAAAAACATGGAAGAAAGACAAGTTCTTTAATCTGTCAGGGTCAGTACCAGATTCCAGTGAACATCTGAAAGCAGGAACTTCTGATGGTTCCTGGAACTGTGTGTGTTTTACTGTCCAAAAACGTAAAAACGACTCAAATGAACTCGGTAACAGTTCTGACTGCAGGAACTGGGAACAGTACCAAGTGCTATTTGTACAGTATGTGTTTTTAGTGCAGGATCTGAACCTGGTTCTCACCCTGAGTCCCATGGTGAAGATTTCTTCAGTCAGAAAATCTGACAGCATTCTCAGAACAGACGCCCCCTGTGGACAAAAGAAATATGACAAATATTTAAATTAAAATAGAGAGAAAAAAATGAAAACTATATTTTAATGTTCAATCAAATGTAAAATGGAGTCTGTTATAACCAAGTAAATGAGGATGTCATCGACAAAGGGTTATGGATATAGCAGCTCAATATATATTTATATATACATATAAAATATATATTTTCTAAATATATTTTATATGTATATACATGTATATATATTATATATTTTGTTTTTTATATTTTTATACATGTGTGTATGTATATGTATGTATATACGTATATATGAGAGAGTGGCGCCACCTTGCTGTATGAGATAGCATCAAACAACTCGCTGATCTGTTCTGGTTTCTGAATGTCTTCTTCCTTAGAGGACAGAGGGTGAGACGAGGCCAGCGCGTCCACGGCGAACACTCTGTGGACGTCACTGAGGACGATCAAGTCTTTCTGTCAGGAGAAGATTCAGACCACGTCATCAAACCAGTCACCGCCATCTCCAGAGTACGGCCAATCAGAGAACAGCTCTTACCACGCCCCAGTCCGGTTCGGCGTTGTCTCCTCCCAGGTATTCCACGTAAGACGCAAAACCTTCATTCAGCCAAAGGTCGTTCCACCACCTCAGGGTCACCAGGTTTCCAAACCACTTCACACGACAGAGACACAGAGAACGTTACGTCGTAGCTATGTCGCTGTTCTCTTGTCCACATCTATCTATACACACATAGATATATTTCTATTAAGAATTCTGAATCAATATCTCTAATCTTAATCTCACATTTGAAACAATAATTCCAATCTGCAGTCCTTATCTCTAATCCTAATCTACAATTCATTCATATAATCCTTATCTCAAAATCTCTCGTCTAATCTAATCTTGTTTTCTGGTCTTCATCAGTAACCTTAATCTGTAATCCTGGTCCTAATTTCTGATTGTATTCTCTAATCCTAATCTCTAATCGTCCATCCCAGTTGACTCTTTCACATGTCCCAGATGTGTTGACGTTAGGAGTTGGAATGATCTGATTTTGAAGGTGAAGTTTAGGGATGTCCGATAATAACGGTTAACCGATATCTCTGTAAGAATCAATTTCGTTTTTTTCCTGTGATAATGAAAACACAATACCTGGGTTTCACCAAATAATGTGACCTAAAAATTGTTTTGAAGTGAGAGTGAATTATTGTGTCTGTCTTTAACCCAAACAGCTGCATATATATTAGTATTGGTCAAGATCGGAATCGGAAATTTAGTGTTTTGACAATATAAGCATATCGGATATCGATAAAAAGTTCATATCGGACATCCCAAGTGAATTTCTCTGCTGTTAGAATTCAGACCATGTGGGCCAGTTCGTGAGCGATGATGGTCGCGATCCTCTCCTTGTTGGAGTTGGATGAAAATCTCTCGTCGTAGAGCAGCGCCGTCTCTCTGTAGGTGATCAGACCCCAGTTCTCCATGGCCCCGGCGTTAAAGTCCGGCAGAGCGATCTGGTCTGGAATTAGAATCAGTCCAGAAGTGGGTTCATTAAAACCTGGACCTGGTCAAGGTTAAAGACTCATGATCATCCTGGTTGTAGGTTTACCAGATTTGGGCAGAGGGTAGCTGGAGTTATAGTACTTCTCAAAGAACTTGAGGATGGGTCCAGTTTTGTTGAGAGCGTAAGCTCCTTGCCCAGCGTTGATGGCCGACTTCCGAGCAAAAATACGGATCTGGAAAAAGATGAAAAAGAACAGGATAAGTTTGGTGGGTTCCTTTGGACTGGTGTTCTTGTACTATTTGTTGTTGTTGTTGTTGTTGTACACAACGCAGTACTCATGACACACAGTCATGAGACAGAGTGAAAGGAACAAAGTAGTGAAGTAAAAAAACAATAACCAGAGTTTTGTCGCTGGTACTCTCGATGTAGCCGAAATCACAGACGACGAAGGCCAGGAGGTACGTGGACATTTTCTCTGTCATTTCAAATGACGTCTTCACCAGTTTCTCACCATCGATGGTGATGTTAACTGATTCTGGAGAAGAGAAGAAGAAGATAAAGAGAATGTTACTGGAAAGTTCATGGTTTTACGTCGTCCACGGTCACAAAATTCAGCTGGTGCTTTATTCCGTTGTCAGTGGTTTGTGACCTGCAAATGTGCCTAAAAACATTGGTTGTGAAACTATATTAAACCAAGACATCAGGTCCCTACGTCAGATAAGAGACATTCAGGTGCTAAATCAAAACGTGGGAAGACACAAACTTTCACTCCTATCATATGAAACTGTTTGCTCTATCGTTCTCAAACGACTTTTAGCTCTTCAGTTTTGTCAGTTTTCAGCTAACATGTCTTGTGCTAACGTTGATAACTTTTACGTATAGTGATAACATGTTTCTTCAGAACACCATTTTTTGTTTGAATTGTTCAGCTGACCTCTCTCGGCACCGTTGGACAGCGCTACCATTCCATAGTCGTGGATCAGACTTATGTTAAAGTAGGATTTCATCGCAGGTTCGTCCAAACAGGGAAAAGCTTTCCTGGCGTCTGTCGGCTGCATCTGAGTCGTGGCAACTATCCTAGAAGACGTAGAGAAAAAAAACTTTAGATTTTTCTGAATTTATTCTGTTGTTTTCCGCCTATTTTTTTTTATTTTTAATAATTTTTACCACTCCCTTGGAAAAAACTCAGAGCTTCAAATTTATTCCCCATCTTATACAATGCTTTATCTGAAAACCAAGATGGCGGCGAACCTTATCATTGGTGCTGCACTAATTTTACAATTAGAGTTATCTACATGGTCATCAGTAGGGGGCAATGTTGTGCCAATAATGTAGGCCTAAAAACTGCTAAAAATGTTCTGGTTTTCAAATTCTTTGCTCCGACCTGATAATTGAACAACTTTAGACCTAAGTTTAAAGAGAATTAAAACATTAGGAGGCGCTGTAAACAAACATGAACATTCATGAACATTTGCCTGTATGATCTAAGTTCATTGCAGCTGCAGCTCAGAGTACAGACTTACTTTGTCTCGTTACCTTCCTTGTACTCGCTCCTGTAGAAACCGCCCAGGTCGTCAGCCAGCTCTCCATGGAACTTGGTGTACAACTTGTACTCACTGTCCTTGGTCAGTTTACCGTTCAGCTGCAGGACCAGGTACTGAGTCACGTCCCAGAGGAAGCTGTTCTTGATCTGCGGTGCCTCCGCACCACTGACGGAGGTGAGCGTTGCTGTGTGCCCATTGGCCTGCGTGGTGTAGTTCAGCTTGTTGGAGTGGATCAGGATCAGGTCCGTGTCCTCGACACACTTGAAGTGGAAGGTGGACTCGCCTGAGTTCGGATGAAAACAGATCCGTTTCAACAGCGATTCATTTGACTCAGAGTGACGGCTTTAAAGTGTTTTTGTACATGGTACCGACCCATGGTCAGTGTTGGTCGAGTTTGAGCGCCCTCTGCTGTTACAGTCATCCTGAGAGATACTGTTTCTTTGTAAAATCATGGCTGATAACAGGGATTCAGACTTTGTTCCCCGTGTGTCTCGGAGAAGGAAGTTCTTGTTTCCGTTTTTTCTCCGACTACTCTCTGAAATGCTAATGCTAAGCTACAGTAACTATTCTTCCACAGACACATCAGACGACTTTCTTGAGGCCAATGCTGAGCCAACAACACAAAGGACGTCTATTGATAGTCCAGTGATGGAGTTGGTTGGGTTTTTCGTCTCTTGTTTTTTTTATCACCACAAAAATATTTAAAGAAAAGGTAAAATACCAATTTTGATAGAGAATAGCTGTGATTTTCTTGGTCTCCATCACTGAGGTCAAATGTCTTGTTTTGTGACTTCATTTTGAGAAATTTTTCTTTTTAGATTTACCTATAAGACACAAACTGACCACACGAGGCAGCAGCGGATCAAGAAATACTCTGTCTATGTGAGCTAAAATCATTGAATTTCTCTGGTGGTGAGAGGGAGTGGTTTTACAAACTCATAAACACAAAGGTTTGTCTGACAGTAAGATAATTATGTCAACACTTCATAAAGATATTAGAGATTATGGGATGTATTCAGATTTCTTTTTTTCCCCCATGACTAAATACGATGATTTGGTTCTTCAGAGCAGGGTTCTTCAACAGTCACCTGGTCCAGGACATCTTACCTGTGAAGATGTAAAGACCATTCACAGGGTCTCGTTTCAGGTGTGGCCTAAGAGTTACATCGTAGTGAATCGGTTCCAAGGTCTTGGGGAGTCGATACTGGTCCCAGGTTTCGTTGGATGGCGTTGGTGTGGTGGCGGTGGCGGTGGGATTGGTGGTGGTTCCAGGTTCTGTGGGTTTCACCTCGTTGTTTTTGGCCTTTTCTTGTGAGTAAACCACAGACAGAGCGATGATGGTCGCTACGGCGCCGGCTCCGAGGATCACCCCGACAATGCCGACCCCTTTGCTGATGTAGAAGCCTTTACCCATCACGACGGTCGGTCAGTCTGTCGCTCTGTCGTCTGTGTTGGAGGACGGGTCTGTGTTCAGGAGCAGCTTTTATCTGCAGCTGTGGTTCAGTGTTCTCCCTCCCATCAACGCCCATGTCAGTCATTAACAGTAAGATTAGAGTTTGATTAGCACGGGCAACACTCTCACATTCGGAGAAAACAAAAGTCAACCAGCCGTTTCCGTTGTTTTTTCCGTTGGTTTTTATTGTCATTTAGTTTAGTTTTTGTTGGTTAGTTTATATTTCATCTCTCTGTCTTTTTTCCATCATTTTTGACATTCAATATATTTTGCGATACTATAGTTATGACGATATATTATGACGATATATAAAACATCAATAACTGATGGAGGAGACTGATATGGGATCAGGAAATGAAATATCGCAAATATTTCGCAGTATTTCAGTGTATGGATATTTTCTTACAGCCCAAACAATTACAGACATTATACTGAACTTTTGAAGCTTGTTTTGAGCTTGTTTTGAGTTGAACAACAACAACTGAATCTAAAAGAACTGAGTTTGAACCCAAATAAAGTAATGTGATGGCAGAGTTTCATTTCCAGGTTATCGCTCTTCGTTTAATTTTTTTTATGACTTTTTATCGCTGAACCTTGATATCCTTGTGACCCTGGAGTTCCAGGTCAAAAAAACAAGGCCAAAACTGTGGGATGATGAACATAAAGTCTTCTCTTCGCTGTGTTGGCGCCGATGGAAACTGCTGAGTCAGCTGCGTTAAAAGCAGAGAACTGATAGTTACGGAGCAGAGTTAAAGATTGATCTCGGAGCAGTTTTATGAAGCAGCAGATATTTCCTCTCAGTGGCGATGAGGAAGAACAAAGACAGTGGTTCAGTACAGTGGTATCACCGCCTGCTGATAACAACGCTGACTTTGATTTGATGGGTCAAAGGAAAGACCCGGAACACTTCACTGATGGAGCTGATTGGAGTATTTACTGTACTGTCACTTGATAACTGAGGTGTTGACTGGGATTGTCTCCTGTATCAGAACTTTACTGTTCCACCGGCGGTGATTATTTTTTATTCTTAATATAATCATAATTTACAAACAAGAAGAAAAGAAAAATAGAACTCCCATCAGAAACATTAGACTTTCTCATTTTTAATTGGATAAATCTATAGTTATATATGTAAATATATATGACATTATATTGAACATTTGGAGACTGACGCTGTATATTGATATATATTGACTGTATCTCCCACCGCCCCCGCTTACTACTAGCTGAAGACTCTCTCTCTCCCTCTCTCTCTCTGTTTGGTTACCGTAGTAACCAGACGCCACTCGCCGCCGACGAACACACACACACTTCCATTTACTCTTCTTCGTTGTTCGTTTTTCCAGTTCAAACCCGTCGGTATTTTTTTTTTTTTTTTTTTTTGAGTTTTCGTTTCACCTTCAGTCGTGTTCGTGCGCTAACATGCCGGTGATCGTTACAGACTTCACGTGGACGCAGACCGAGGACGCGGTGCGCGTGCACGTGCCTCTTAAGGGGGCACGAGCCTGTAAGGTCGACATAATCTCCACCGACCGATACCTAAAGGTAATGACGTCATTAGAAGGCTTTTAAACAAAAGTAGAAAAAAAAAACTCTGAAAAAAGAAACGGTTTTATTTATTCCACTTTTCTTCAGTCTGTCTTTGTACAAGTGTGGATACAGGAGCACTGTGGGCCACATCACTGTGGGCCACATCACCGCGGGCCACATCACTGTGTGGGTCACATCACTGTGGGTCACATCACTGTGGGCTGCAGTACAAAAGCGTCTGATTTTTCTTTCTCATCCTTCTGTTTCCTGCTGCTCAGGTGCATTTCCCTCCGTTCCTCTTCGAGGCGTTTCTGTATCGACCCGTGGACGAAAACCGAAGCTCAGCCAAGATCGGAAACGGAGTCGCTGTCTTTACTTTAATGAAAACATCCAGAGAAACCTGGGAGCAGCTGATGATGTCATGTAAGAGCGCCACGTAAATGTCCAGACTGACGGACGACTGACAACGTTTGACAACGTCAAGAGAAACATTGAATTACATTTAAAAATTTATTAACTTTGATTATTAATGCAAATAATTTACAGAAAATATTTTAACTTAACAATCAGACAGACTCTAACAAAAAATGTCTAATTATTCACTCTCCTGCACCAAAGTCCATAGAGAAAATCATTGATTTTAGCTCAGAACAAAGGCCGACTTTGTTTAATTTTTGTTAATATTTATTTGTTAACTTTTGTTAATATTCTGAGGCAGGTTTTCATATCTTCAGTTGGCTCTTTTGTTAATATTCTGAGGCAGGTTTTAGCAGGTTTTTTGCTCACATAAACACAGTAGCTGCTTGTACAATGTTGCCTCATGTGGTCTTTTTATGTTACTAAGTTAAAATTGAACAAAACATTTCTGTTGATACGGTCAAAAAAACAACACTCGTGAAACTTAATGATGGAGTCAGTAGTGGATCAACAGTCGCTGTTCCTCTGAGCTAAAGTTGTTGTTTTTCTCTATGGACTTTGGTGAGTGAGAGTTACTCTTTAACACTCTTCAGTTTCCCGTGAGGTCAGTCTTTTTTCTAAAAAGTAATCAATGATTGCGAACAAACACTTTTCTGTTTGTGTTTCTGTTTTTTTAGGCGATAAAGAAACCAAGCAGCAGCTGAGGGAAGAAGTTCTGCTGAAACACCAACAGAAACTTTCATCACAGTCCAGATCTAAAGCTGAGAAACAGCAGGCAGAGAAGAAGTACTTACTGGAGACCATGATGAAGGTAAATACAACAGCGCCACCCTCTGCTCGCCTTAACCAGATTAACTCAAACACCCTTTTTTTCAGCTGGAACAGGATGTAAGAGACAACATCCAGAAGATGAAGGAGGCGGAGCGTCAGAAGACCACGGCAGAGCTGGAGGCGTGGCAGGAGATCTGCGAAAAAACAAACACCAACGAAGAAGAAGAAGACCTGAAGAAAAAAGGAAAAACAAACAGTGAAAACATCAAGCAGCCAGGTCAGTGGATGTCCTGTTATGTTAGCCTAGCATTAGCTAACTTGTAGAGCTGTGTGTAAAACACAAGTTTTCTGTTTTGTTGAAGTGAGAACCTGCAAGAAAAAAACGGAACAGAAGCGAACTCCTCCGAGAACCTCAGGAAACATTCAGGTCACGTTCACGCCTCGAGTTTTCCCAACGGCCCTCAGAGAATCCAGGGTCCAGGAGGAGGAGGAGGTCAGTCCTTCATGGAGAAGATTTCTAGAATTGGTTCTTCATCCGGCTTTGTTTTAACACAGAATGCTTTTTTTTGGCTTAAGCAGCAGGGGGTGCTAATGCATCTGTCAGTACTTTAAACTACATTACTGTCTTTTTCTCAAACGACAGTGGTTAAAGAACCAGGCCGAGGCTCGACGTTCTCGCAGCTCAGGTGCTGAAGATCTGCAGGAACTGAGTGAGAACGAGAAGAACCCAGAGTGGCTGAAGGACAAGGGAGAGTGAGTGCAAACCATCGATCTTCTGATCTGGTTTTACTGGTCCATGTCGTCACTGAAGGCCTGACCTCTGACCCTCCTACAGCTGCTACTTCAGGTCAGGTGACTACCAGAGTGCGGTCAACGCCTACAGTCTGGCCCTCAGGCTCAACCAGAACCTGCTCTCAGTTTGGTCCAACAGAGCAGCCAGTCACCTGAAGCTCAGGAACCTGCACCAGGCAGTCCAGGACTCGTCTCAGGTCTGGACCCGGTCTCTGAACAAGTGCCTAAGACCTTCAGGAACTATCCTAGTCTTAGTCCTAACTGTTGGTCTGAGACTAAGACCTTCAGGGACTATCCTAGTCTTAGTCCTAACTGTTGTTGTTGTCGTCCTGGTCTTCGTTGGGGGGGTTCTGTCGGTGTGACTGTAGTTGAGGCCTGGATTAGTCTGGATTACCTTCAGATCAGCACCAGAGGATCAGCGATCACTATGTGTTAAAAATGAGAAATGAGTCCATTGAAAAAGTCAGTGATTTTAGGAAACGCTGGTCCACTGCTGCCCTCTGTGGTCCGTTTGTGTCACTGAGGTAAATTTTTAATTTGATTTAGATTTTAACCAGTGATTTTTTTCTATGGCTAATGTTGGGGAAGAGTAAGAGTGTTAGCATGTTAGCGCGCCAAAACTATCAAATAAATAAAACGTCAAATTTTACAAATGCAGTGGAACAGTGCTGTAACTTCTGCGGAGCAACACTGCCTCCGTGTGGACCAACTGAACAACAACATGTGTGTGTGTGTGTGTTTCCCTCAGGCCCTGGACTTGTCAACACCTGCTGTTCCCTCCAATGCAGCGTCCAGAGCCAGAGCTCATGTTCACAGAGGAGCGGCTTTCTGTGAGCTGGAGCTCTACGTGGAAGGTCTGACACACACACACACACACACACCCCTAACCTAACCTATCAGTCACTGTAACATACTACAGAATAGAAAAAGAGTTTTATCAAATTGTTACATGACTGCCCCCTGCTGGACAAGTACAACATTTGTTATTGTTTCAGTCAATAGTAGGTTAAACTTAATCATCCCTCCCTCTGCCTCACCCCCCCCCCTCCCCAAAGGTCTTCAGGATTATGAAGCAGCTCTTAAGATTTTTCCGGACTCACCTGGTCTGCAGTCGGACGCTCAGAAAATAAGAGACGTCATCGAGGGGAGGGAGACAACGTCTGCCTCCTGGTGAGGTCACAAGTGTTGTTCTGGTGTTAAGACGCTAGTGGCACAAACTGGCCACAGGAGGCAGCAGTGGACCTGCACATATTTAAATAATAAAAATAATTTGCAGTGAAAGTCGTATCCAGAATCTTCTCGTCCCTGACAGAACTTTAAAAACCTCCTCCTCCTCACCTCCCATTCTGCGTCTTCCTCCTCCTCACCCCCCCTTCTCCTCTACCTTCTCCTCCTCCTCCATCTCAAAGGTTTTCAATCTTCTACACCAACACTTGAGTTTGGTCTCTCGTTAGTGTTCATTCAGACGACGATGCTTCAGACAATGACTCTGACTTTGAGCCTCCTCCTCCTCCTCCTCCTCCTCCTTCTGTCACAGTGATGAACAGATTGAAACAGAAAGGAAACGTGTCTTTACTGAGAGTTGACAGATTTACACTGTGTGTGTGTGTGTGTGTGTGTGTGTGGTCCAGGTCCTCCAGAGACACGTCTGCTGCTCTGATCTGATTGGTTCAGATGATCTGCACTTAGTTTATTAGGCTGGACCAGGACCAGGACCAGGACCAGGACCAGGACCAGGGAAGGCTAACATCTGCCAGAGATGTAATGCTAATGTAACATGCTAATGCTAAACAGGGACTTGTCAGGGACCTTATGTTTGAATAGAGCAGGTCAGAGCTAAAAAAAAAAAAACAAAACCCTGATTGAGCCACATGGTTCAACAGTGTTTGTGACAGCGCCTACCTGAGGACAGTAGTGGAACAGCTGGCTGTGACTTCAGGATCTTTACTATAATTTTTTTTTCACTCACTGTTTTTAAGTTACTTTTCTTCAGTGTCTGTGAGTTTGGACCAATCACAGGCTGTACAACTGTTGACCAATCACTGCTCTCCGTCTGAGCCCCTGATATAATAGATTGAAAAACTCTCGCCGCTGACACTCACCCTCTCTCACCCTCTCCGGGTGTTCACTGACTCTACATTTATTTGCTGTGACTCTGTTCCTCCTTCAGTCCCGGATCTTCCGTCATGTTCCGCTGCAGCGGCCTCTCGACTCCTCTTTACCCGTCCTTCCTGCCTCCTCCGTCGGCCTTCTCTCCTCCGTCGTCCCGCTCTCTGAGTGGAGCATGGTCTGGCGCTCAGCCGCCCGGCCAGCGCCCTCCACCGGACCCTGACCTCCACGATTCCCGGGCCAGACTCGATGCCTCTTCGCCCGCTGCCCGTGGCCTGTGTCCGGGCTGCAGCTCCGAGCAGCAGCTCCGGATCACCGCACAGAACCAGCCCGAATTCTGGACTCAAGTTCGGCGTCAACGCCATTCTAGCTCCGTCCACACGAAGCAGCGGTGAGAAAAACTAACTTTGATTTTGACATTAATAAAAAAAATATTCTAACGACGATGGACAAAGAAACAAACAAACAAAAAAATACAATTTTGTTTTTGTATTTTTGACTGAGTCGTATTTACTCCCTAAAGACAGAGTATATTTTAACGTGAAACCACGCAATATATTTCGAGGAAATCTGAATTTTACTTAGTATAAAAAGTTATTTGGCCAGAACAAAAAGCAATAATAAAAAATATTCATTGTTTTTTTTTCTCTTTCAGTCCAAACTCTTCAGACCAAATCCTTCCTTCCTTCGTTCTTCGACGCCTCAGACCTGCAGCCCTTCATCACAGCCACTTATTTTACTGGTGAGTCTGAAAACAGGAAGTACATGA